AACCCCCCCCCCCCCCCCCCCCCCCCGGCTTCGCGGGTCTGGCGACGCCTCCGGTTGCCTCTCCGCGGGCCCCCTCCCAGCCCGTGTCCTTGCCCGTGTGTCTTTCCCAGCAGGGCGCGCGGGAACATGGGCTCCCGGGGACTGAGACTCGGGCTGGCGAGCTGCCTGCTGCTGGCCTTCGCCTGTGGCCCGGTGCTGGGCCGTGCGCCGCGCGGCCCACAGGAGCTGCAGGAACAGGAGGGGACCGAGGAGCCGCCGCTGGACCACGCGGAGAGGTGAGACACCGGGGCGGTGTGCACGCGGGCGCTCGGGCTTGGCGGGTTGAGCCTGGGGTCCGGAGCACCGCAGGGGGCTCGTTCGGGGCCGGACGCGAGGGAGCAACAGCCAAGGCCAAGGGACGGTCCTCGCGGGGGCCGATCCTTGAGGACAGACCAGCCATCTCCCCTTTCAGCGAGCTTTACCTGAAACCGAACACTGTACCCCTCCTCCTTCTAACCCCAAAGGGATTGGGTCTGTTCGGTTTTGCAGCCACATCCTTAAATAAAGAGTTCACCGAAGGGGCGCCTGGGTGGCTCAGCGCGTTAAGTGTCTGGCCCTTGACTTCAGCTCAGGTCGTGATCTCACAGTTCGTGGGTTCAAGCCCCACATCGGGCTCTGCGCCGACAGCGCGGAGCCTGTTTGAGATTCTGTCTCCCCCTCTCTCTGACCCTTCCCTGCGTGCTCTATCTCTCAAAAATAAATAAACATTAAAAAAAAAAAAAGAGTACATCAAGCCCCCCACCCCAGCCCTCGGGTTGTCTTTCCATTCTGGCCTTGTCCTTTGAGAGTATCTTCCAGGGCTCTGAGAAGCGCCGCTGGGAATATTTTGTAGGGACACACCAAATGCCTAGGGTGTTACTCACGAAACTGTCGTTCCTCGCATGTGAGGTTCCAGCCCGATGCTTTGACTTTCTGCATTAGTTTCAGCTTCGGGCCGACCTGATGCCCCAGGCTTTAGGTGTGCTTTACAGGACGATGGAATTGCATGCGATGCGGCACACGGTGACATCTGTCACCTCCTGCTCCTTTTCCTCGTCCTCCACTTCCCCCTCCTCCCCCTCTTCCTCCTCTCGTTTTTCGCTCAACGAACATTGAGCATCTAATATTGGTCTGGCCATCCGCTAGGGACAGGGGGACCTGCACAGATGACAGTCCCTGGCCTCCGGGAACCCTGAGGCTATGGGGGAGCAGAGTGGTGAACAGTGAGGTAGGACAGGTATGCCCGCAATGCTGGGGGTGGCGGTGGGAGGGGGGCCCGAGCAGAGGAGTGACCTCATCTTGAAGGACACCCGGGGGACATCCGGGTGCGGAAGGAGGGTGTGTGGGAAGTTGCGGCCGGGCCGGGTGGTTTTGGGGTAGTGGAGGGTAGGAATGGGAAGGGAACTCCTGAACTTAATCCTACAGGGAGTCATGGACGATTATCACGGAGAAGGTGGGGATGTCTAGGGATGTCATGGAGAGGTTTCAGGGTCCTGGGGTTCCAGAAAGAAGGCTGGAGAAGGCAGAGAAGATGGATGGGAGGTGTGGGGGGAGGCAGATTCCAGGAGGGCGGTCAGAGTGGTGACGGTCCCCCAGAGATGGGGAGGCCTGAGGACCCAGCTTCTGCAGGTGCCTTGGTGGGGGGTGCTGACTGCTCAGGACCCCGTGGTCCTCAGAATGTGGTGGCGAGGCCAGAGACATCTCCCAAATGAGCCTGAAGCTCCATTCTGGGTGGCCGATGACGGTAACGTGAGGAAGGCTTGGAGGGAGAAGGTTCCGGGGGCGCAGTGACGGGCCGACACTTTGGGACACATCACCTCTGCGGGGTTTGCGGGGTCTAGATGGAGACTTCCGGCAAGAGGCGGGGGTCCACCTGGGAGTCCCCACCTGGCACTTGTGGGGTCTGAATTTAGGGTGTGCAGATCCGTTTCCTGGATTATCTGGGGTTTAAAAGCAGGAGCGGAGGCAGAGAAGGAACCGGCCTTTTGAGATGGAGTGACTACCTCTGAGATGGTACCTTCAGCTCCAGAGCCTGGGAGCAAACAGGGAAGACAGAAAGAGCACCGCGCAGCGCAGGGCGAGGCCGCGAGGTGGCAGCACGGAGCTGTCCCCGGCCACCCCGCCCCGGCAGCCCCTGTAGCGTGGGTAGCAAATGTTAGAGTGGAGTCTCCAGCTCAAAGCTCAAAGGAACCGTAAAGATCTGGCCGAGCCCTTTCATTTACAAATGAGTCAGCTTCAGGTAGTATCTTCTAGAACCACAGTTGACGGAGGGGGTTCACAGCACTGTCACACAACCTCTGAACCCCCTCCCGGAGGGGCAGAGCTCTCCAAGCAGCCCGGGCTCGACTCCCACGGCCCGCAAATTACTGCTGTGTTTGTTACCGCTGTTGGTGAGGATTGCTGTGACCAGAAGGCGGGGGGTGGGGCTCTTCCAGAAATTTCATTCAGGGGTCCCAGACTTCGCCAAGAGCCAACGCTGCCTCTGTCGCGGGAAAGCGAGTGCACGCCCTGGCACGCCCAGGAGAGAGGGGAGGCAAGCAGGTTAGACCAGACCCCCTGGCAGCAGGAGAGAGAAGAGGTCCCAGCTCAGAGAGCTCTTGGCTTCCACGGTGACGTCTTTATTCCCTTAGGGATGAAAAGAACCATGAAAAATACAGCCCCAGGCAGGGGGAGGACGAGCCCGCTTCCCGATGCTTCCGCTGCTGTGACCCCGGCACGCCCGTGTACCAGGCCATCCCGGTGCCGCAGATCAACATCACCATCCTGAAAGGTCAGGCTGCTGCCAAGCCACCGAGGGGACCTTCTCCCGGGTGGGGGTGGGGAGTGCTCTGTTCTGCGGGGGGCGGGGGGGAGGGGGAGAGGATGTAGTCTTTTTTTTTTTTTTTTTTTTAATTTTTTTTCAACGTTTTTTTATTTATTTTTGGGACAGAGAGAGACAGAGCATGAACGGGGGAGGGGCAGAGAGAGAGGGAGACACAGCATCGGAAACAGGCTCCAGGCTCCGAGCCATCAGCCCAGAGCCCGACGCGGGGCTCGAACTCACGGACCGCGAGATCGTGACCCGGCTGAAGTCGGACGCTTCACCGACTGCGCCACCCAGGCGCCCCCTTTTTTTTTTTTTTTTTTTTAATTGAGTTTATTTATTTTGAGAGACAGAGCAGAGGAGGGGCAGAGAGAAAATCCCAGGCAGGCTCTGTGCTGTCAGCGTGGAGCCCGATGCGGGGCTTGAACTCACATGAACCTGTGAGATCATGACCTAAGCCACCCAGGCACCCCAGGAAGATGGTGGTCTTTAGGGTGGATGAGGCGGGCCGCCCCTCAGGGCACAGAGCAGAGGCAGGCTGACCTCTAGAGGTGGAGGAGGAGGAAATTCCATCCGAGGCTCTGTCCCCTTTCCAAGAGGGCAGATTGGAAGGAAGCGGCCCCGCAGGACCAGGGTCTCGCCCCGCCCGCCCCCGGCTGCATCCGAGCCTCTGTGTCCTCTGTTCTGGGGCTCGGCACCCCACCCCCCGCCCCCAGCCCGCTTTCTGAAATGCCAGCGGCCGCCGCGGCCCGGATAACCTCGCGCAGCCCTGCAAAAATCTGACCGGGAAGCTCCCGGGCGAGCCCGACATCTGCAGTTCATTTGCTGCGAGTCGGCCGTGGGCCCGGCCGCAGCGCCTGCCGCTTTTGGACAAACCCACATGTTCCCTTTGCTTGGCCAGCACTTTCCGGAGGGGGAAAAAAATGAAGGCTTCTGGATGAAAATAGAACCACCGTGGCGGCTGGGCCAGCTTTGCTCGACGCCGCGTGCTCTCTCGTCCCTTTTAGGTGAGAAGGGTGACCGAGGAGACCGAGGCTTGCAGGGGAAATACGGCAAAACAGGCTCCGCGGGCGCCAGGGGCCACACGGGCCCCAAAGGGCAGAAAGGGTCCATGGGGGCTCCCGGGGACCGCTGCAAGAACCATTACGCCGCCTTCTCGGTGGGCCGGAAGAAGCCCCTCCACAGCAACGACTACTACCAGACGGTGATCTTCGACACGGAGTTCGTGAATCTCTACGGCCACTTCAACATGTTCACCGGCAAGTTCTACTGCTACGTGCCGGGCATCTACTTCTTCAGCCTCAACGTGCACACCTGGAACCAGAAGGAGACGTACCTGCACATCATGAAGAACGGGGAGGAGGTGGTGATCCTGTTTGCCCAGGTGAGCGACCGCAGCATCATGCAGAGTCAGAGCCTGATGCTGGAGCTGCGGGACCAGGACGAGGTGTGGGTGCGTCTCTTCAAGGGCGAGCGGGAGAACGCCATCTTCAGCGACGAGTTTGACACGTACATCACCTTCAGCGGCTACCTGGTCAAGCACGCCCTGGAGCCCTAGCCCCGCCGGCCCCGCGTCCCCCCCACCCCCGCCTGGGGAGGGGTGGGGGGCACGGGTCTCGCTGCAGCCCCTCCCCCAGGCCTGGCTTCCCCGCCTCACTGCCCAGCTTCGGCCCTCCACACCACGCCCCCCTCGCTGAAGGGGAAGCGGAATCGGCTGGTGGGCACCTGCGAGGGGGAGGGGGCGGCTCCCCTCCAGGCACGTATCCCCAGGCGACCCAGCAGGCGCGCGGCCACGGGGCAGGGTGTCCCAGAGTCATCCCGCTCCCTCCCGTGGCTGGAAGTAATTAAGGAAATTATAAAGTTTGTAAAAGAAGCAACATCGGGCCCGTGTGGGAAGAGGGAGGCGTTGTGATTCTTGCCTTCCCACCGGCCGCACCGGTTCCCCGGGGAGGCAGTTCCAGCTTGAGCTTGCGTGAGCCTCCTGCTAAAGGAGACCCGACGGGGACGCTGCGGGCCACGGGGGAGGGGGGCGGAGGGCGTGGGGCCCTCCTCGGCCATGGCCATTCGTGAGTCTTCTTTGGCAACCGCTGGACTGACCTCCACGTCCTGGGGTCGGCACGGCCTTGCCCCGAGGGTTCGGCTGGTCTGTCTGAGCCACAACAGCGAGGGGGGGGGGGGGTGTGTGGCTGGGGTGGGGGTAGCGAATGTCAGCTCTCAGCAGGGCAGCCAAGCCCCGGGCCTCGGCCTCTGGGCTGAGACGAACAGCCTGCTTGTTGGAACCCGCAGACTCCTGACAACAGCCGGGGACCTCGGGAGTCCCTGGGTCTGCTCAGCACAACCAGGGCAGAGCCATCCATCTGGTGTGGTTCTGCCCCCACGGCCCCAGGCTGCCCCGGAGCCCTGGGCAGGGCCTTCACGCCCGCCACCCTGGCGCTGGCTTTCCGCTCCTCCTCTCAGACGGGTCGGCCATGGAAGGCACTGGAGCCATACTTTTGTAACAGCTGTCGTGGTTATATAATATTTGCTATACAAGCTCCCTGCACACCATCTCCAGTCCTGTTTCCCTGAGGGCTCAGCGCTCTCTCCCAGGCCTCTTTGACCAGTAGCCTAGGACACCGCGGGAGGGCCTTCCTCTGGGCCCCGGAGCAGGGAAGAGCCGGAAAGAGCCGGAAGGGGCTGGAAGGCTCTGCCTGCCTCGGGGCCCCCGCGGGGCACCGTCCCTCTGACCAGGAGAGAAGCACGTCTGAAGCACTGGAGTCAGAACCCTCTCTGGGAGGTGGGGTGTAGAAACACCCGAAGCGGCTGCTGCCTAGATTTGGTGCTCTGGCCCGTGGCTGACTTTGGCCCGGTGGCCCTTCCCTGCCTCTCTCCGTTAACGCCCAGGGCCAAGGTCCCTCTCCTACCTGCTCGGGCCCCTAAGCCCCTACCGGGAACCTTCCTTCCCTCGGGGAAGGGTCGGTTCTTCCCTGGTGACCCTTGGCCTTGACCCATCCCTCCGCCCTCCCGGGGGCCGGGCCACCGGGTCTGGGCCCCGTGCCTCCTTCCCTCTGAAGGACTTCTGCTGGTCAGACTTTCAAAACGGTGTTTTTATGGGCGTGCTGGTGAGTGGAGCGTCCACCTGCTGCTTTGTGCTGTCCCGGTGCTCTTTCGGAAAACATTAAACTTGGAACCATGCGTTTGAGCATCATGGCCTCTCCAGTTTGGTCCTTGAGCCACATCCTGCCCCTTTCTCTCCCCCTCCCCGCACCCCACCGGCCGCCCCCGGGGGAACCCGGGGGCCCGCGGCGGCTCGGCACTGGGAACCTAGGTACCGGCGGGCACGGGCCGGCCCCCCCGAACTGCCTTTCCTCCGGGCGGGCGTGTTTCCCAGGCTCAGCGGGGCATGGCCCGTTGGGCGCCCTGTGCCCGAGGGGTCTGTGAGGGGCGGGCGGGAGGCAGGCCTCGGGCAACTGTGCTGCTGTCCCGGGTTGCCGTGACAACCCGCCACAAGCCCGATGGCTTACAACAACACACATTTCTGTCGCCCCGGCTCGAGAGTCCAAAGGTTCTGCAGGAAGGTGTTGACGGGGTCGCTCTTCCTCCCACGCCCGTAAGGGAGGACCCTTCAGCTTCTGGTGGTCCCCGGCATTCCGTGGTGTGTGGCTGTGTCACCCCGGTCTCTGCCCGTCTCTGTCTTCTTTCTTGGGCCTCTCGGACCTCCCTCTCCTTTCCCTCATTAAGATACCAGTCACCGGATTTAGGGCCCACCCTACACCCAGGATGATCTCCTCTCAAGATCCTTAACTTAATGACCTCTTCACATTCACGGGAATCAGGGGTTAGGACTTGGACGTACCTCTTGGGGGGGGGGGGACATGATTTAACCCAATACAATGACCTGCTGGCTTGAATACACCCACCAACAGCCTCCCTTATGCTCGAGCACTGAAGAGTGGACGCTTCTTCTCTCCGTCGCTTGCCAACTGGGTTAGCGGCCAGAGCCCTTATCCGACGGCGGCCAGCAGGCAGTGCCGGAGCTGCCTTTGCTCCCTCTGGTGCCAGCAGGGCTGGTGTCCTTCCTCTGCCTGGTCCCGGGATCAGCCCCTGCTCGGCTGTGGGCAGGCCCCCACCTCCACCCAGCCGAGGCCATCCATATAGAAGGATGTGCCGTCTACGCAGCGGGGAGGCTATCTCCTGAAGACGCACGGAGAGAACGGGCCAGCTCCCTCCAGGTGCCCACCGCCTGCCCTGTCTCCAGGGACACGGAGCGCGGAACACCTGCTCTACCGCCCGCCAAGCCAACGCGGGGGATGAGGTGGCGTTTGCTCCAGAGCCCGCGCAATGCTCTCTCTCTCTCTGAGCTCTCCCCACACCCAGTCCTTGCTGGCCCTGTCCTTCTATTGTTCTGTTCCCTTCCTGTTTGCACTTCTGACTCTCCAAATATTTACCCTGCCTGCTTTGTGGCTGCCCATGTGCTAGGTGCTGGGACGCCATGACGAATAAGATAGGGTACTTGCCTTCCGGAGGACTTTTCTGGGGTGTTAACTGTGGTGTGATACAGATGTAGCCTCCTCAGCAGTGGATGCTTGGCACCTAGTTATCTGCCCCATATGACTCCCTCCCCAAGCAACTTACCTTGCATGGGCTCCTTGCCCTGTGCCCTGACCTCAGCTAGTAAGGACTTGGCTAACCGTTCCTGGAAAAGACCTGATAAACTCAGTCGCAAAACAAATATTAGTGTTTTAGCAAAAGGACTTAGAAACAGCTGATGACTCCGCCAAAGGGGAGAACTGTTTATGCTACAACTTTCAGGAGCTGCTGTAGCCAGGGGTGGGAGTGGTGAGGCGTACACATCCCATCCCATGGGGTTATTGTGCGTGTGTGTGTGTGCGCGCGCGTTTGCACTCAGGGACGAGTTTCTGTGGTGTTCGCTATGGGAACACAATGGTATGATGGCAAACTGTTCTTTTGGGGGCCACAGTAACTGGAATAAAATGAGCCCTTCTTGCCCAGATCATGAAAAGAAAACTCACAAGGTTACAGAAAATAATAAAATAAAACAAGACGCTTCCAGATGCAAAGAAAAGAGCTGGACCCCTACCTCACACCGTATACAAAAATAAACTCGAAGTGAATCAAAGACCTCAATAGAAGAGCTAAAACTACGAAATTCTTAGAAAACAGTATGGCTGTAAATGATCCCAACCTTGTATCAGGCAGTAGTTTCCTAGATGTGATACCAAACCCCAAGCAACACAAGGAAAAATAGATGAATCAGAATATCATCAAGATGTAAAATTCCGGGCTTCAAAGGACATGACTGAGAAAGTGACAGCACGAAATGGGAGAAAATATTTGTAAATCATAGATCTGATAAGGGACTTCTATCTGGAACATATAAAGAACTCTTGCCACTCAGTAATTAAAAGAAAACCAAACTGTGGCACCTACGTGGCTCACTCGGTTGGCCATCTGACTCCGGCTCAGGTCACGGTCTGGCAGTTCGTGACTTCGAGCCCCATACTGGGGCCTCTGCTGTCAGCGCTGAGCCCACTTCGGATCCTCTGTCTCCCCCTCTCTCTGCCCCTCCCCCACTCTCTCTCTCTCTCTTTCTCAAAAATAAATAAACACACAAAAGGAAAGCCAAGTAAAAAATATGCAAAGCGGGGTTCATGGGTGGCTCAGCTGGCTGAGCGTCCAACTTTTGACTCCGGCTCAGGTCATGATCCCAGCGTTGTGGGATCGAGCCCTGCTGAGCATGGGGCCTGCTTCAGATTCTCTCTCTCTCTGTATCTCTCTCTTTTCCTCTATCCCTCTCCCCCACTTGCCTCTCTCTCTCTAAAATAAAAAAAAAAATAGGCAAAGGGTCTCAATAAACATTTCTCAAAGAAGATTTACAAATGACCAGTAAGTACATGAAAAGATGCTCAGTATCACTGGCCCCCAGGGAAATGCACGTCAAAACCACAGTGAGATACAAGTTCACAGCCAACAAGATGGCTGTCATCATAGTGACAAACGTTGGCAAGGACGTAGAGAGGCTGTCACCCCCTTACGCGGCTGGCAGGGGTGTAAAATGGTGCAGCCGCTTTGGCAAACAGTCTTGCGCTTCCTCAGAATATTAAACAGACAGCTACAGGTGACCCAGCAATCCCACGCCTAGGTGTGTACCCAAAAGAAATGAAAATGTTGTAGATAAAGGTCCTCGGCAGCATTACTCAAAACAAAGTAGACACAAACCAAATGCCCATCAGGTGATGAATAAATGGACAGAATGTGGTCTATCCACACAACAGAAGAGTAGTCGGCTGTAAAAAGGAAGCGGGCAGTGGCACCTGCTATATCATAACGACGCTAAGTGAAGGGAGCCAGTCACAAAAGACCACACGTTCTATGATCCCAAGTGTGGGAAATGTCCTGAACTGGCAAATCCGGAGAGATGGAAAATAGGTTTAGAGGTTTGCAGGGGCTGAGGTTTGGGGGAAGGGGGTGACTGCTAACAGGTACAGGGTTCTCTTTTTGGGGTGATGAGAATGTTCCAAAAGGGATGACGGTGGTGGTTACGCAGCTCCGTGAGGACGCTGAAACCGCTGAACTGCGCACTCGCGATGGGCAGATTGTGTGCTGCGTAAATCAGATCTCAGTAGTTATAAGCGCACGCCTGTACACACGCTGGAAGCCTTGCCCTTCTCTGTTCGGGCCCCGGGAAACCCTGGAGCCCTAGGCGGGTAACCTTCAGAGCCAGTCTCACTATTCTGGGCTTGGCCCAGGATGGGGTCAGGGTCCAGGTTCATGAGATGGGATGGGACGGTCAGGGTTTTAGCTCTCCCGAGAGCATTACTTAACAAGAACTTTGGAACCAACTGTTGGATGAGGTCACTCAAACGCGGGAGGCTGACACAGGTGCCAAGGGAAGCATTCCACAAGGAACAGCTAATTGAGGACCGTGGCTTTCTCTCCGATGTCCCCTCGCAGCTGGAGCAGGGCTTGGAGAGGCGAAGCGACCTCAGACGCCCTCCATCAGCTGGCCCTGCTAGCCGGCTCCTCCTGGGGCGGAATGGAGCGGGGCCCACTGCTCTTTACGCGGATGGTCAGGCGAGGACAAGAAATTTCCACTTTAGAGATTGCCCCAAGTAGGAGGAGAAGTTTGCACACTTCGAGATAACTCGGAAACCTCCATGCCTAGAGATAAGAAAAAGTGCCAACCGCTCAACCGAGATAGCCATCAAGTGAGCTGTCCATTCAGTTTGAGACTGTCCTTACTAAGACATCCGGCAGGTGAGTACAGCAGGCTTTCCGCGTGGGGAGGAAGAAACCCATTAGCGTTATCACAATCAGAGATGGAAACAGCCCTTCTCGCCGCATTTGAGGAGATAAAGACCGAGAGTTGTGGCGGAGAACTTGCAACTCGCGATAACTAACTTGCAACTCGCGATAACTAACTTGCAACTCGCGATAACTAACTTGCAACTCGCAATAACTAACGAACACGAACGAATCAACCGGAAACTCCAGAAGTGGGGGGGGAAAAAAACCAGGTGCCACCATGAAGAGCCCCGTGGCCGAGGGCACCAGCATGTTGTATGCCGAAGAGAAAAATCGGCAGCTTAGAAGATAAATCAGAAGAAGATATTCAGAAAGAAGCATGGAGAGATGAGGGCATGGGGCTACAGAATGGGGAACATGTCTGTACAGGGAGGACAGGGAACTGGAGTTCCAGAAGGAGACCCCAACGTATGTGCAGCTGGAGTCCCAGAAGGAGAAACGAAAGAACACAAGAGAAACGATATTGAGAAGACAACGGCTGAGCACGTCACCTGATCGAGGAAAGCCGCTAAGGCACAGATTCCAGAAGCACAGCGAATCCCCAGCGGGATGAATGAAAACAAGGGCGCGCCCCGCACGGACAGGGTGGGGAAACCATTGCAAACCAAAGGCAAAGAGGAAATCTTAACACGAAGGGGGGAATTGTTGTCTTTCCAAGGAGCAGTAATGAACCTGACAATGTCCTCTCAACAGAAGGAAAGGAAGCCGATGGTACATTTAAAAGGCTGAAAGACGATAGCTTTTTGATCTAAAGTTCTATTCCCCAGGATGATGTAACAAAATGAAGACGGTTTCAAGCAAACAAAACGTGGGAACAATTACCCCTGGCAAACCCACATGAAGTGAAAGTGATCCCAGAGGGAAGGTCAGGAATGCAGACAC